CTCTCTCTCTCTCTCTCTCTCTCTCCCTCTCTCTCTCTCTCTCTCTCTCTCTCTCTCTCTCTCTCTTGCGTGAGCTTGCTCGTATGTGTGTGCATGGAGATGTCCCTTACTCAGTTTGTTTAAGTTTGTGCCAATTTCGTGATTTTGGTATGATGGGATCTGAGTCAGGTTGACGTGGCCTTTCTTGTGCATGGAGATGTCACTTGCTCAGTTGCACTTCATACGTTCCGCAGTTTGTCTAAGTTTGTGCCAATTTCGTGATTTTGGTATGATGGGACCTGAGTCAGGTTGAGGTGGCCTGCCTTGAAGTTTCTTTCATTTTTCTTGCATGCAATGTATTGTGCGGGAGCAACTGGATTCCTGTAATTTAGATCTAGATTTCCATGTGAAAGATCCATGTTATGCTCTCTCTCTCTCTCTCTCTCTCTCTCTCTCTCTCTCTCTCTCTCTCTCTCTCTCTCTCTCTCTCTCTCTGTCTCTGTGCAGTTGTACTTGCCTGTGATGCCTGTGAGACTCACCGACCTGGAAAATGGTAGGATCGAGCTTGGAGAAGGAGATAGTGCATACGGTCGCTAGGTGGGTCCTGTGAGAAAATCGGTCATGCGACATTTGGTTAGTCTTTAAATGTGCTCTTGGGCAGTTGTGTCTTTGCCTGTGAGACATTGACCTGGAAAATGGAAGGATCGAGCTTGGAGAAGGAGATAGTGCATACGGTCTCTAGGTGGGTCATTAAACCGCCAGTACATTGCTCCAGCCTTGTGGAGAAACTGCTCATCGCGTAGGACAATTTTGGAGGCATGGGGTTACCGGATCACAATGGCTGGCCACGCCTGCCCAAAAAGGAAAGAAGTTATCCGCTGGCATTTCAGAAAAGCTTGGTGTGCAGTGGAAGACTACCAGGGTCAGGTGTACTGGTGGTTTGAGGATTTGTTGCTATGTCATGAGAACGGTGAGGAGGATATTCTCGTTTACGAGAAAAGTGTCCCTGTGCTGGGTTTCTTCATGACAAAGTGAGACATCGCAAAACAATTGGGTCGTCAAGGGGGGCTTAAGTGACTGAACTGTCTTCTCCTGCTGTGGAATTTGAATGGCTTCTAGTTATAGGTGCAAAAATGCAGCATAGCGATGCCTTCTAGGTGCAAAAATGAAACATCGAGATGGCAGTTGGGCTCCTGCTTTCAGCATGGCCAGAGTCACTGAACGCTCTAATTGACAGCTGCATGATATAGAGCGAGCTGAAGAAAGCTGGTTGGCTATGGCAGCTGCTATCCTTCATCCAAAGAGTAGAGATTGTGTGACATGGAGAAAGCTAGATGAGCGAACGTTTTTTTCCTGGAGAAAACTGGTTGTGGCTATGGTAGTTGCTATTTGTCGGCCAAAGACTATATAGATTATGCTAAATGATTCAAAGTCTTCTCTTTGTCTTGTCTTGCTTAGTTTTGCTGACGAGTCATTGGGCAGACGGTCATCTGCAGGACCTGCAGGGTCCAATGAAAGAGCGAGCAAGTTTGGGTGCTAACACTGCTAAGTAAAAATTGCTGTTGTCCTTCTCCTCGGCTCCTCTGCTTTCCGTTCTCTTGCTTCATACTCGGCAAATTTTGGTTCACATGTTTTTCTAAATCGATATTCCAAGTGGTATTCTGTTTCTTCATGTGGACCATCGGTCTTGCCCAGCTCTCTATGAGAGCAAGATTTGCTGCAAAGAGTATTCCTATAGTGGCTGGGCTATTACGGAAGCGGTTTTCTGAATACGCAATTCTGTCATTGAGTCGGGAGCGTACAAATTGGTGTTGGTGTTTTTTAAGAGGGACTTACACCATGCCGTTGTCCCCATATGCATTGGTTTTGGGGGGTTGGTGCATGAGCCGATGGAATACTGTGGAGTTTGAATTTGGTCGTGCAATCCATATCCTGGGGTTCAATACTTCATTGGAATTCGGCCATTGAATCCTTATCCTGGGGGTCGTACTTCGACTTGTTTTGTCCTTGTGCAGGTGTGGACGATATCAGACTGGTCTTCTCTTCAAGGATCCGTATCGACCATCATTTGTGGATGGCATTCTTGGGCTTGGGCGGGGAACCTATGGCCTCCCATCTGTTTTGGCGAACAATGGTTATAAGAAAGTTTTTGCTCATTGCCTAGGAGGAGGGTCTGGTGGTGGCTTGCTGACTTTCGGGGAGCCCCAGGGAATCAATGATGACGAGGTCCAATTCACCCCATTTACACCTGGCGAGTCCCCGTAAGTACCGTGATGGGGTGCAGATG